CCCCCACCCCACATATCCAACTGGTGAGCTTGTCTGCTATCGGTGTTGTCGGTAGTTCTTACTACTAACCACATAAGCGAGATCGCATACAAACACCAGATGGTCGAGAAGGAGAGAAAAGGAGGGGAGAGAAAAAACGATGCGACTGAATTCGGTCAAATCGACTAATATCAACATCATCACCACGGCCCGAAAAACACAGGATGCCTTTAAATACCTACCCATCTCACTTAGATAAAGGCAGAAAAAACAAATAGAGCTCCAAGAACAGATTAGAGGAGATTAAAAAATCTGGATTTTGATAATGCGGCTTATATGATATTTATTCGATCACTAAGGTGGGAAAAAAACATGAACTGGAAGATGAGATCTATGAAATAGAATTTTTTCGCTTGCAAAAGTTGAACTTTTCTTGTGGAATACCTACGAGGGTATAATCTATTTTCCATTTTTTTAGAGTATCTAATTTGTAGCACCAATCTTAATTAATATTGGCTTCAGTTAATACTTCGTTATAAAGCTACTATTCGCTGGTTTATTCAGGGATAAGGGTTTCATAAAGCTCCCTTCCATCCTATAATATTTCGAAAATTCATTAAGGGAATCATTTTTTAAACCATTGTCTCGGAAGTGTATCTTCCCTTAAGGTTCACAAATTGAGAAATGTGCATTCCTCTATTCATTGCCTGACCTCATTTAACAAGGAATTTTATCCCCTAATTCAACAGGTACCCAACGTGAACACCATTACTACAACCAGAGGCTTTGACTATTTCTGTGCAATATGCACAGGCCGATAAGCTAAAAATAACATTTCAACATCAACTAGTTATACTTTGAGTCAACAAGAGTGGTAACAGTATGCAATTTTCAAATGAAATAAAGCAGTCTTAGAGTATCATTCCTCCGCCCGAGTTAGAAGTAGTTATTGACACTACCCTCAACGAGCGTGGAAAGCCTTCCTCCCAAATATTTAACCCAAGAAACTGAGACTCCATTCCATAAGAATATTGCTTAAAAATGTCTGAAACTGAAATCTTTTCATACCACACTGGGAGAGAGAGAGAGAGAGAGCAAAACACAACTACTACTTGTTCGCCCCCCAAATTGTCTAGATGCACTTTTAAGAGTTGACTCATAGGCAGCAATAAAGAGCGAGCGCTCCAAAAATTCCAACACAGAGTGAGGCGGCTCAAATCAAGTTTCACAAGTGCAGTCACAGCCTACCTTTGCTCCTCCAAAGAAGAAGTAATCAATAACGAAGACAGCACAACGAAGAGGCATAGTACTAAAAAAGAAAATGTAATAACAATTAAAAGGTTGATTTTCTGGCCATAAGTACTCAAAAGTACAATGTGGGTTCCCCAAGAAGAGAATTACCAGGGGACAAAATAGACCATGTCTTACACAATCTAATCGTAATAATTAATTAGACACACTAGAAAGGTTAACTAGAAGCTAAAACGTTAAAAATGAAAGTACATTTTTCCACTTTGAGGTGAAAGAAACTCAAAAGAGTTGAAACTACGCCCTTTCGCACAGACGAACCTAATGTTGGAGTTCCAAGATAAAATAAAATACATGAGGTATTTAGTGAAACTTGCAGAGAATTTGAAGCTTGTACGCGATTGGCCACTACTTTACTTTGTTTTTCGAACCTTCACGGATTTCTAAATGCTACACATTGTGTGTCACATTGTTTTAATATAAGGTGTCATTTTCCTCTCTCTCTCTCTCCCTCTCCATTCCCAATATCAATTTTTCTCATCCTATTTCTTTCCTAACTTATGATGATAGAATGTGTTAAAGCTCTGAAGGGTGGAGCTAATCTTCTTCCTTCCACACAGGTGGAGCTTACTCAGTTGTTGAAGTGGAAAATTGACTCTCAATAGGACAGTAAAATTCAATCCCATGAAAATTCATCCCTTGCTTACTCAACCCAATGTACTGGACATACGATCCGACTTAAAATTAACTAAATTTATGAATTTAGGTAAAGATCTAAGGTATAAAACCTAGCCTCCGACCTAAATTTTATTATTCTTTATCACCACTAATGTTAGTCAATTTTATAATCTGTTGAATTATACGAACATTGCTTACTTGAGAAATAGAGTAAGGAACCATGAGAGAGTGACAAGATTAACCAACTCCACACCTGTATTGCCTACATTAGGATCACTACCACCGACCTTCGGACCACTCCGTCGAAACAGTAAGCTGACAAAGCCCTCAAGTGTGGAAGATTCTGGAGACCCAACAGATGATGATTGCGGGGGACCAGCAGCAGATTCCATAGAAGGAATAGAAGTGGAACGGGAGAAGAGTGTCGGAAGGTGATTTGCAACCAGTTGACACAAGACTGCCTGGTCAACACGCACTCCTACCACTTGACTATCATAGTAATCTGGCAGCAGGCGCTCACAAACTGCTGACAACAACCAGAAGGCTTCTTCTTCACTGCAGTAGAGTAGGAGGATGCCTGTCACCATGTTCATCGCTTGACAATAACCTAAAACAGTCAAGCATTAGAGTTAATATCTCCCAACTCCCCGTCAGAAGTCAACCGATTTAAGTATGGATCATATTCGAAAGTCAAAATTGCGATACAAAGCCCAACACTCTGGGAAAATGTTCAAAAATAATGAATTTACAAATAAGGGGCATTGGCGACTACATTGACTCACATTACAATAAAATAAAGAAATAAGTTAACTGGGCTAATAAATACAATTGAAATTAATTGTAGGACAATTAGGTGTGGAGAAGAGGAGCTCAAGCATGATGATAAATCTCTCCTACAAACAATGTGACGGTATGCCAATATCTATTAAGGCGTAATTATTGCAGGCGCCAAGTCAATAAGAAATTAAATAGTAAGTGAGAAAGCGAAAGAAGACACCGAAATAATGAGGGGAGGATTAATAGCTTTGAAATATGCTGGTACAAGTGTTATTTTATTAGGTGGGTAATGATTATTAAAGCACTGCTCAAATGGCCATTTGCATGTACCTCGTAAGCTTGTATTCACTTTTCTAGGATACAGTGCCAACGCAGGAATGAAAGACTAAAACGTTGTGAATCTCTTCGACTTTATTCGATCTCCATGGTGTTAAAAAATGTATCCATTTCCAATACCTACTGGCATGTAGGTGGAAAACATCGCGGACGGAGATAACGTCGGAATTTTGAGGCACAATGGATAACGTTATAAAGCAGGGACTCAACATAAAAGAAACATCAGTGGCTTTCGCCGCTTTGGCAATAGGGTCAAATAAATTAATTAATAAATTAACCGACTTGGATTTCAAATGCGGTTTACAAAATAAAAATATTACTAAATTCTAAAAATTAAAACACCTAGGTAGCTTTTGTCGACGCAGTTTAAAAAATCAAGCGCCCTCCCACCCATCATTTTGTTCAATGTTGAGAGCGAAGTTGGAGGTGAATAATTCAGGCACCCAATCGATAGACTTACCTCCCACGTGGTGTACCCTGGGCAAGGTATACTCATACGGCAAAAAACGTCTATTAATCGGCAATTGACTTCTCACTTCAAAATACTACCCCCCCCCCACTGTATGCTATATTCAACCCATTCAACAGTACTCATCTTATCTTTTTTCTGCCTTTGTGTCAGCCTCCTTAACGTCTTTGAAACACTCTTCTGTCCCCTCCCCATTTGATATAAATATAACCTAAAAATAGTTAAAGGTTCACACGCCCACATTCCCAATCCCGTAGACCTATGGACAATTACTCCAATCCACAAATAGACTACAGAATAGGTCATCTGGAAATCGGCGTCAATAAGAGCTGCGAGGATAGTTTAATGAACAAAACCGAGATAATGATATAACAGTCTTAGACAAGAATAGAGACCAGGTAGAGGACGACAACGACGTTATGATGTGAATATCCAGACACGGCGAGCTCAGCTCGCTTGACTGTCAATAAGAAATTCACAGAGCATGAATTAATAATACGATGATTTGTAACAATTGACTGCGTGCCAACAGAGTACAATATCGTCATCTCCTCAAGGGAATTATTAACTACACCGAAATATTGTAGTACTTAACGCATCCCGCGCCATAATCATCCTCAGTAATGACCAGGTATGATAGAAGGACAAGAAATAGATCGTGGAGGTGATGGCGATGTACTGAGGGTGACACACGGAGATGTCGGCAACTTTAAATTAAAGTCTCGAAAGAGGGAAAAGGGGAGACGGATAGTTCAGTCCCTCACTGCTTCCCCTATCCGATTCCCTAACCAACTCCCCCCCCCCCCCAACCTCCTTCTCAAGTCATATATCCTCAAACAAATGTGTGACAGTCTCTCTTTCAGGAAGGAGTTCCTTTGAACTTGGCCAGAAGGTGAGAGGGAGAGAGGATGAGGGTTGAAAAGCCAATCATGACAATTAATATGCCTCGAGAACCTACAATTATGCGACAATTAAAAGCAGGCAGGTAAATTAGGGGTTGAGAAACTTACGCGCATGACAGCTAATTAGGTTCTTCAGGAGCGTATTTTCATTGTCTTTTTTAAATTAAGAAAGCAAATTGGCATTGAAAATATTTGGGTTGGGCAATAATACTACGGTGGTTATTTCTGACAATTAACCCTTTAACGCCGAACTATTTTTTTTTAAAAATGCACCCAACCGCACCCACGCGTGTCTCACAACAGCAGACTGATGCCGCCGAAGTAAGGAAGTTTTGGTGGTGCATCAGGCGAAGACTAGAGACACGTATTGAACACGTTTCAAACGGCAATAGCGCGCCTTCTATTACGAGTCTGGAAGCAATGGAGCTTATTTTGAAAGAGGACTGCACGGTCCTAAGGGCGTTAAAGGGTTAAGATGTAGACGTTGGATTTTCTTAATTATACAAAATTCACCTAAGTTTTGGCAAAAAAAACCAGTGCTTAAATTCAGAAGCTGGAACCATTATTTTTATTCCCTACAATTGTGCGTGAATAAATGGTAGCAAATTTATTGCCATATTATGAAGTGAAAAGGCCATTTTATGTCCACAACTATAGGACTAAACATAAACCTATAGCCAAACTCTATAAAAGGTCTTTAAACGATATCGAATTGAATGAAATGCGCCTCAACCTTGAAAGCTTAATTCTCAGAGACGTGAAAAATCTGGACTCCACACGGTAGAGGTGAGTACGGTACCTTAATTGATTAGCGGTCAAGTGTTGTCTAAAATTGATTCTCTAGGAGCTCAAGGGCTAAATTGATAAGCTTTCCCAGAAAAAGTCAAACTTCTTGGGACTAAATTCCTTACTGAAACGCTGGTTTCCAATTTCGGCTCAACTAAAAATAATATTTCCATGATTTGACATGAATGCAGAAAGTAACTTCCCTAACGAAAATGGTCGATCAACATTCATATTGAGATAAATACGAATAAATGATGCAATAAACCGGAGAGCTTACCAACATTAGGATTGCGAAAGGCATATGCAGTGAGCACTCGCCTAAGAGCTGCAATTCCTTCAGGTGTGTGGTAAGCAGGATGCTCTGGAAGGGAGCGATGCAGATCTCGTTCAATTTCCAATAGAACGGAGTTGGATCGACCTGATGTTTGATGTACTAAATTCTCATAATAGCCCGGATTCGCACACAGCTAGAGGACAAGGACCAATATTGATGTCAAATTGATATGCTTAATGCCAATTACCAAACCTTCATCTTTTCGTTCCACTGACTCCTTCATATTACCACATATTTTTGATATTCAAGTGCTTAAATTAAAAGATGGAAAATTTCTAAAAAAATCAATGGGGGAATTCCAAAGGCATTAGGAAAAAATTGAGTAAATTTAATTATTTTTAATAGGCATGAGTAGTTTTAATCTTGAAACAACTCCTACTCCGCTGAAAATCGGTTTATTGAACAAACTGTTCATAATTAATACTTCATTCTGCCCAAAGGACCCAGAAGTCTCGACTGATGCCAATTAATTCAAGGAAGAAATTACGGCATTAGTTTAGATCTACGTCACCTGAACTTTCGATGGCTTAAAAATGTACGCGCTTCATATTTCAGTTAAACACTGACTACAAATTATGCCCTTTTAAACCATTTGGTAAAAGCTCACAAAGTAGTACTGAGTGATTTTTTTTCTAAAATAAAAAAGCACGTTCTATTCACAAAAAAAATTTGTCGAGGTTCGCCTACAATGAAATTAACAAGTGGACTAATTTAAAGTTATGATTTATTTATAACGCTCCCAAAATGGGAAGACAATTTACTATTCTATTTCCCGGGGGATATCACATACCAAAGCCAATTTGGAACAATAATTGCTCCTCGAATATTCATAGCTCATTAAGAGGTGACGACGGAGATAGAAAGGACAAACATTTACAACTACTAAATATATATAAGTAATACTTACATCGTTTTGCGCTCCGCTAAGAAGTAACCACAGATGACCTCTCAACTTAGCGGGTAGACCCTTAAGTACGAGCTCTTCTAGCTCGTCAACAATGTGCATAGATCTGCCTTTCCCGTAGACTGAGAAGTACGTCTCCCACGCGGAAATCTTTTCAGCCTCTTTCCGAACGTCAGTGAAGTGTTTTAAGGGATATTTGTTGAAGAAACGGGCTGAGTGATCAACAGCTAAAGCAAATGCACACAAGGAGACAAAGGAATTAAACATTTGCATTAAAAATAAAACAATAAAAATTGAAATAGAAAGAGATATAATCATTATTAGGAAATATGAAACTTTATCGCAAGATAGCTTATATTAACTAGTTTGTTAGGATAACACAAGATATCGTATTCACGCTGGCAAAAGTAGATAGGACGCAATAAGAGACTTATTATCTTGCTTACTTATCTACAAATTCTCCATTGACATGCACACTTTTCAAGCCTCAGTTTCAGTGAAAATAACGTTTTTTTAATAAATCGTTTAGAATTAACAACTCAAAGATTCCGGTAAGAAAGCTAAATTCTGCTACTCTTCGAAAAGCATCGAAGTATATCGAAACCTTGATCTGTCGAAATAGTAAAAAATCTTTCCTCTGCAGGTAGATACGAATCGATATCGAAAGTTGCTATATTGTATTGCCAGAAATTCGCAAATTTGACTGATTTAAATTAAAAAATCAGTCGGATAGTTTCTATAACTTTGACTATGACGAACTGTGACTTGAACCAACTTTTTTCGATCCCACTCCATCCTCCAAAATATTAACGATGTCATCCTAACTGCCAGTGATGAGTGGCACTCCGTTTCGTACCAGAGATGGAGTGTCCACAGATCTGATTGTCCATCTCCCATTGTATTAGGCTATGCAAAAATTTTCAATGACTCCAATACTATCAATGACAAAGTTAATGCTAAGAGGAGAAAAAAGAAAGGTATAAATCAATTCAACCCAGCGAGGAAAGTCTAGCTTATGCAATTTAGATTTTGTTAAAGCAAAAACAGGGTCCCTTCATAGCAAGTTTGAAGAGTGGCATCGCACCCCATGAACTCTTACCATAAATTACAAAATTGAGTTTATTTTAAGTAATTCTCACTACCAATGAAACATATTGTTACTTTTTTTATTTAAAACACGCATAGAGTAGCTTTTAAAGCATCATTAGCAAACTTTGCAAAATTGAAGTAAATATAATTTTTACGTAAATTTTAAGTAAGCAACTTACATGCATTCGGTGAAGGTGGCACTTCGTCAACTTTAGACACAATTGATTCCTCCACTTGCTCGTCCGATTTTTCTATTTAATATGAAATGATCGTTTATCACAACCATGAAACCCAAAGGCAGCACTATAGTGCAAATATATGCAAATTACCAGCATCTGTAGTTGACACATTAGTCTTTGTAGAAGAAATTGAGGCTGAGGAAAGCAAACCTGAAATTTCCATATTTAGCAAAGCGTCCTCAGCTACAACTACCTCATCAGAACTAGGAGAAAAAAAGGATAAAATTTTTAACAATACAGATGCTTCGAAAGACATCAAGATCATATCACAGAAACACAAAATCTTACTTATTTTCTGAGGTGGATGAACCCCGAACAATGTACCTGAGTCTATCGATCAAGCCTTCCTTATCATTCACTTTAGTGAACATAAATATGGTCTGCATTTGGAAAAAGTAACATAAAATAAATGTAAAATAATAAGCAGTAGAAACCCAAGAGTAAGTCTTACGTCTTTTGTAGAAAGCACAAAGTCAGAGTACTTGGGATTAATTTTCGAAATTTGAACATCGACTGCCCCTGCGTCACACAAAGGAACGACTAATTTCAGTGAAGGTCCACCCTAAAAGTAGAAAAGAGAAAACAATCCCTTTACGTAATTTCCAGACTCATTTGAAAGGAAAGACTTATAAAAATTATTCATAGATGGTGAAATCTCGTCCAAAAGAACCCATGATGTTAAACTTATACACTATTACTTCCCTTCATATTTGACTTAAGTACTATGATCCACTACGCCTTTCACAAAATGTGAGTCATGGAATACCTAATGCAAGCAGACTGTCACATCGATTGCTCTCCCATCGACGTGGTGCAATTTCGACTTACTTGATTCCTGAAAGCAAGAAAATTCTCCGAGACGTAAATACGGCCAACTCGTTCTCCCTTGTCAAACGGAGTGCAAAGGTGGCCTGTGGCTTCAAAATCAAGGACTTCTGAAGCAGGTAGGTGGAATTCATTTCGATAGGCCTCGCTTCGGGAGAAGGAATCAAGTCGGGAAAGTAATTGGCGAGTTGAGAATTTCGAACTGTAACCAAAAAGACAGTCACCCTTTTGATTTAAGTAGAAGTTTGTTAAAATTACAAGCGAGCGTTGACACTGGGCTCTAGAGTCACGTAGCTAAATATAAACAGGGTAGTCAAGTGGATGTACAGAAGCGTGTCTGCGCTTATATACAGAATATATACATTTGATCTGAAGGGTTAAAGTTATCAACAAATAAGCAGTGAATAGGTAATCGACATGATTATGTTGAAGGAACAATACCGTGAAATTTGGTGAAAAGAAAGAAATGAGTGCGAGCTTCATGACTACCCATTCTAGCTTAATTGGGATCAGGCAGAATGAAACAAGAGCATTAGTCACCAATCTATGATCAAGAGTGATCGCATATGAAAGCGTAAAACGATCGCATACGCGTTACGCGGCAAGATGCATTTCAGACCACTACCTGAACAGATGGAAAATAAGTTGGAGACTATTAAAAAATCAGCAATCCAATAAACCCCTATTAACAAGTAATAACAACTAATTGTACGGATTGCTGCATAACCAATAATGAATAACAAACTGGAGATGTAAATGTTAGCCACCACACAATCAGTGCATAGCGTGAAGAATAACACAAAGACTTGAGATCAAGATTACTTATTAGGCAGACAAGACACACAATCGGTATAACATTTAGAGAGAATTCGTAAAGAGAACGGATTATTTGACAGCAAATAACTAACCAACTGCATAAACTACAAGTGGACGCCGATTGTTGAATACATTTATTTGAAAAAAAGCAAATAAATAAATGTAAAATAAATCCAATGTGCATCTTGACAAAAGGGAAATAAATGTGATATCTTATTCGATGAAAAATTTCAATAACCCCTTAGTTGCTGCTAGCTATTTTGTATGGCTCATCGATATGTGCATTGAAGATGAGAAATTATACTACAGACAATTTCGCATTCCCAATGGAATAAGGAAGCATTTTTTACTTCCACAAAATTTCGAAGTCATTAAAGCAAAAGAATGCCTTATCGTTAACAAAAAGTATTCATTACACCTCCATTCCATTAGCACGGTAAAGTCAATTCACCCACTACTCATGAACTGAATTTAAAAAAAAATATTTACTATCACACCAAGTGTAAGGTACAAATATTAGCGTTCTTAATCCACTGAAATAGTTCTACTGTAGCCTAAGGAAAGTAGTGGATATCTTCAGGGATGACTGGGTCCAATTTGGGCCAATGGGTTCCGGGCTCGAATAAGTGAACGCGATAAGGAGTTGAAATACGTTTTGCTATTAAATTTAAATTAGGAAAAATAGAACTGAAGCAACGACTTAAATAAAACGAATACATAAATGAAAACTGATTCACTAAAGCCATACGCAGACGGCCTTATCAATTACTAAGGCACGGATGAAATTAAATTAAAAAAAGCTATTTTTCAGTGGTAGAGCCGTATCATAGATACCAGCCACATCGAATAGCGGGTCCAAGATGCAGCTTTTAAAACTGGACAACAATCACCATGACAGGTAGCTGGATAATGTTTATTTTAGCGAGTCTGTTGAATGACTCTCACGTCTTAAAGGAATACAGTAACGTCATATATTGCAATGGCAGAATATTTGCATTGCCATTTGTGTTGATAGACTCAAAAGAACGAAATATACAAGATGACTTTGAGTGATATATAATTTGTGGAAGGCAGATTTACTTCGAACTATTTAATAAACATACCAAACAAACCAATAAATACAGAGGACAAAAAATTTTAACTTATCCAAACAATTAAATAAAATAACGTTCATATATAAGAAATTTGTCACATTACTTACTTAGAAAGTCTAAAAGGGTCTCGCTGAGTTGTAGTATAGGCATCATTATTAAGCAATCTAAATATAACCAAAACTTCAGTAGAAAATAAGTTCCCACAAGGAAATAAAAGCAATTTCGAGACAAAAATTTACTTTCGAGCACCAAGATCAGCTAATCGTTGAATGATCGAGAAGGTTTCTTCAACGCGTGAAGTTATTGTAAACCGATACTGCAAAAATGTAGAATTGATGAAAAGAATTATTCGATATTTTAAGAGTTAGTAGAAATAAAAAATAAAAGGTTCACCTTATTTTTGCGTGTGGAGAGTAGAATATAGCCTCCAAGGGCAGTCGTTAATTTCCGCTCAACGCTCTAATGAAAAGAATTTTAGTAAAATACTAAGTTGAACTTACGATAACTCTGATCCATGGGATAGATAATTTATCACAGAGACTAGAAAAGGATGGAAGGAAAGAGAGATAATTTATACTGAGGAACAAAGTTCCTCCATAGGGAATTGTGCCAGAAAAATAAGAACCCGAACAACCTATATTTTGGACAATAGAGAGAAAAAAGAAGTTCATACGATATATCAATTTCTCCGCTCTTGGAAAATTGAAAGGAGACCGGAAATCGATTGTTTTGGGATCTGAAATTGGTAAAAACAATAGACACGCTTATAACCTACGCGGAATAAGTTGGGATTTTGATCTTCTAGTAAAAGTATTGAAAAGAAAAGTTGGGACTTCAGATTCAGGTAACTTTGTTAACACCGGGACAATTTCAGACTCGATCTTCTTCATCAGGGCAGAAATCTCATCAAATTCATCTGAGATTGCTATTTCTACAGACATTTGAGAATTATTCAACAGCTTACGAAATCGTTTCTCATTTTTCAGTAGATATGTGATGCGAAAAGCTCCACACTAAAGGTAATGGTTTAGTAAACCAGGGTAACCTTACTGCGTCAAAATCACTTTCCTCATTAGCGGTGGCCCAGCTACCCAATGCATTACCGAAATGATTAATACGTTGCGTTACTTGAAAAATATCGCATGTTAAGACAACTCTAGAAAAATTTATTAAAAAAATTTGCTTAAATACATTTCGTCATTTAATAAAAATACTTGCTCGGGACTCTGCCACATGGTTTTAGAATTTAATTCTAATCAAAAGAAAAACAATAATAGTTAGCATGTGAAAATCAGCCAAATAGACAGACTCATGGCTACAAATAGAACTAAAGTAGTAAAAGCTACTTTGCACTCACTTATTTAGGAAGTCAGATAAAACATTATAAAGAAAAATTTTACTGGCCGGTAGATATCCTAATTTAACCGGTCATAAAACTATCGATGTAAACAGAGTGTATAATTTTTTTAGTTATCATGACATTTCGTTATTGGGTTTTAAGTAATTAAAAATAATTTTAAGTAACATATATTTTAACTTCTCATTCTGGTTTAATAATCAATTGTTTTTTCCTAACAATTAATCAATTTCCAGGTTAAATTGTAAAGATAATTGTTTTTTACCACAATTAAATAAATCGACACCTTTTTTCATTATTTCTAATTATGCTATTTTTATGCGTTGCGCACAATTCTAATTATCTCAATTTGTGAGTTTCTAACCTTGGGATCTTGACATTGCACACTACTTGTGAGTTTTAGTTAATATAATACATGGCATTTTGAATCCCATATGACGAGATATGTAATAAATAGATCTGAAACTACACTAAATCTATCGCATTTAAAGATTAGCATTAGAGCTTTTTAATACATCAATTCTTCCTTATGATAATTCTTATACCATTTTTGATTTATTATCAAGATTAGAATAAAAGTTGGAAGAATTCTCGTAAGCATATTTCTTGCTTACCGGGGTGGTTAAACCGAGTGTAAAACTAACAATGAAAATTTTTATAAACTCCGCACATCATGAAAATATGAACACCCCTGAGGTAGTTTATATGCAAATATGTTATAACGAACTAATATATGATAAATTGAGAAGATATGACATTTGACGAGACATAATCTATTCGGCAATAATAAAAAGAACGAGTTCGCTTATAAATATTTATTTATCTATATTATGGTTTTTAATTGAGCTAGCATATTTTAGGCAAAATTACCCTAAATTAATTACAAAATAGTGGGGTGTGCGATAGACTTACCCCCACGTGATGCACCCTGGGCAACGTATACTCATACGGCAAAAAAGTCTATTAACCGGCAGTTGACTTCTGGCTTCTAACTACCACGACCCCCTGGTTGTCATATTCGACCCCTTTCACAGTACTCACCCTACCTTATTCTATACCTTTGTGTCTGTCTGCCTCTTTTACATCTGTGAATCGCTCTTCTGTTCCCCACCCCTCGACTTTCTTCTACTTTGATGAACCTTCCCTCTGTGAAGCCTGAAGTCAGCTAAATGGCTAATGATATCTATCAAAACGCCTGCCATTTGAAATAAATAAATGAATTGCAAAATATTTCACTTAATTTTAC